AAGTTTTCATACGAAAATAGGAGGAAAAGTAAAGTCAGCACAAGGGGGAGAAGACTTTTTGCAAAGTGGGATGAGAAGTACAAATCTAATTTTGATGACTTAAAAACCCAGTCTCCGAGAAGAGTCCATTCCTAATACCTGTAGAGTGTGTGTCTTGTTTGTGCTGTTATGAGTCCCTCTTAAGCTCCAGGCCCGTAAGTGTGGATGGGTTGAGCCATGATACGCCTTAAATTTGTGTGTTTCTTTCCTAGGATGCCAGGACAGGATCTCTGCAGACAGCCTCAGTGACCCTGAAGCGTTCGTTTCCTCATCTAAAGAGTTGGGTCCCTCACACCCTTGCCCAGCCGACATGACCATTGCACCCAGAAACATCAGTCTTTCCTTACTGAGCACTAGCAGTGACAGCTACTTAAATAGCCAGTCCTTTGAGGCTGATGACATTTGCAACGTGACAATTAGCGACTTGTATGCGGGCATGCTGCATTCAATGAGTCGACTACTGAGTTCAAAGCCATCGTGCATAATCTCCACAAAGACATACATCAGTCAGAACTGGAACCCCAGGAGGACGCTCCTGCGAAGGAGCAGGGTGCAGAGGAGCTCCAGTCGGAGGTCTGCACCCTCCTCAGAGGTCAGAGTGTTAGGGAACTGTGAGAACATGCTGCACATGGCTCGTCATAAGACAGGCTTAAAGCTGGAAAAGGCTTTTCTTGAAGGAAGCAAACTCCAAATCCATAAATCCAGTCCAGCGTGGAAGAAATTTCAAGTGGCACCCCGGAAGCATCCTTCATGGACTTACTTGGATTTCGACACAGTGTGCCATCTTGATTGGGAAGATAGACTGAAGGCATTAAAATGGTTAATATCCCCTGTTAAAATAGTTTCCAGACCAAGGATGCTTCAGGGCCAAGCAGAGAGTTGGTACAGAGAGATTGACATCAGGTTTGACAAGCTCCATCGGGAGTGTTGCCTAACTTCCAGGAAGAAGCCTCGCCTGTCTGGCCCCCCCAGGTCCTGGGCTGTGGGTGTGCACAGAGGTGGTTCTAAAAGCCCAGGTAGCTCCCAGGGCTTAGAAACCCACAGGCCGAGAGAAAAAAAAAGGTTAAGTGAGGCTTTCCAAGACCTTGGCAAAGTGCCTGTCAGATCAGGTAGACACCCCCCAAAGAGCAAGCCCTCTTCATCCCTGTCAGAGGACAGCTCCACATGGAGCCCAGGCCACTTCGGACAGACACCTGGCCTTTTTCTTCAAGGACGAAATTCTGGGCCAATCAGAAAGGCAGTGTTACCCAGCACAGCTATTTCAGCACAACAGATGGGCCCTTGGGACTGCGGAAGGAGTCGCTATGATGAGATTAAAGAAGAGTTCAAAAAGCTTTATCAGAAGTATTGCCTGATGTCCCCTCAGCAGACGAAGGCGCCCCTGCGAGTTAGCGTATCTCCAAGGAAGGCCAGTCAAGCAGAGGGTGTCTTAGGAACACTGAGTCTAGACTCTGCCTTCCAGGGTTCCCAGAAATTGTCACCATCACCCCAGTGGTGCATAGAAAGCCCACGGGATTCACCTGGAACTCAGGGTCATATGCCTTTGGGAACTGTTAGTGTTGTCCGGAGGAACCCTCAGTTCCCTGTGAAGAGACGGAGGCTGTCGTACCGTGTGTGTGGACACCAAGCTGATTCTCGGGATTCCTCAGGAAGTGCTGTGTGTCTCTTCAGAGACAGGCTGAGGAGACTCCCAGACGGTGGGACTGGCCGTTGTGAGTTGCTGACAGTTTTCCATAAATGCCAGGTCCTTGGCTTGGCAGACCCCACAGTGGCACCCGATTCCACTGCTCCCAGCTGCTCATCCTCTGACTGAGATGTGGGCTGGGAGTTTGACTGTAGATTTTGTTTCTAGTTGGGCAGGTGAGGCAGCGACCCTCACCTCCTATTTACCCAACCAGATGAGTGATTCTTCCAGGTGGTGGTTTCCATAAGTATCCCATTGTCTGGATTTTCCCCGTTGAGCCTTGCGGCCCTCCCCTTCCCAACAGCCCCCTCCTCTCAGCCTCTGTCCAGCTGTCTCCCCTGCTACACCACACACCACCATCCTGCCCCGCTTGTCTTCCCAGCCACCCAGCCAGGCACAGCCATCGCCACATCTCCTGATGGTACTCAGGGCTTCCCACCCCCTTTCTTCCCAACGCCACACCTTTCCTCCATCTGTCCGCTGTCTTCCCTCCGTCTGTCCGCTGTCTTCCTACTTCCTCCGTCTGTCCGCTCTCTTCCTACTTCGTCTGTCCGCTCTCTTCCTACTTCCTCCGTCTGTCCACTCTCTTCCCTACTTCCCCTTGCATGCTCTTCCGCCCCTGTGCAGGGGAGCACCTCTTGTCTGGGCACCCCGTGCTGCAGGACAACATAGTCTAGACATGGGCAGATCCACACATTGGGGCATAATGCAGAACCCCGCTCACTCAGACACTTGATCAGTCCTTCCTAAGTGCTGGAATTACCTGCGTGGCTCACCCAGCTTTGCGAGCCTGCCCTAGTCCCAGTGCAGGTCTTTGGTGTTACCCGGTCAGGTAAGGGACTTCTCTTGTCCAGTCACTAGGGGACTTTGGCTCTGCAGAGAATAGCACCAACTACCTGCCTGGAGCTCCACACTCAGTTCCCGGCAGTTCCTCCAGCTCGCCCAGAATGGAAAGGCCTTAGCCTGATGCCTTTTCCAGTTCTACCCTGAACCCCAGTGTGAACACCTTTAACTGTTTTCTCAGTTTTCTTCTACCAAAGCTGTCAGTTTCTTGGAGAGGGGACCAGATCTCCACAAGCTTGATAGCATAAAGAAAGCTGGTGGCCAGAGTCTAGTGCTGGGCCAGTGAGCCTTGGTGAGCCTTACTCCATTCCCACAAGAACCACTGGATGGGATGGGCAGGTTCTGTCTCTGCTTGTTAGTAAGAAGACAGTCTCTGTCTGCTAACTGCCAAATTCATTCAGGCTGGCTCGGTTGGACTGGGCCTTAAGCCCAAGGACTCACCCCCAAGACACACAGCCCACATGGGAGCCTGGGATTACAGTGACCTTTCCGTCCTTCTGCTGTTACCGTAGTCGTATAGCGTAGTATTCCTAGGGCTCCGTCATTGGCTTGGTGACATTTTCCACAGTGAACAGTGTTTACATGACTGCAGCAGGCGCTAAGCTGCGGCCAGCATGGAGGTTCTGGTGGAATCTCATTCTCCTCATGGTCTCTTCTAGGGAAAAGAAGAGCACACCTTTCAGGATGGAAGAGGAAAACAAGTTTTGTTAGAGGGGTCTTGTTGCCTCGCCACTCGCTGTCTGTTTTCAGGGTCTCGGTGTCACTGTGTCCCCCAGACTGACCTCAGATCTGCCTCCCCGTAACTGGGATTACAAGCACACTCTGCCACACTGTCAGCTGGCTTTGCTCTGCTTGTATGCGTGCTTGGCTGACTATCTGCCCGTGGTGCAGGTTCAAGGCAGCTGGATCCACAGGAAGTTCCAGGTGTGGAGAGTGTGGCTAAAGTTGCAGTCAGCACGTCGGTGCCAACTCTGTAGCCTGTCTGTCTCATATTCTCTTCTCCATTAGTCATGCCCAGAGTGCTCTCCGCACAGTGTCTGTTTGTTAGAATGCCATTTGCTTATAGAACCTTTAAGCCCTGCACACAGTGGTCCTTGAAGGAAATATGATTGCTCCAGTCTTCAAACGTGAGACCCATGAGCTTGGTGTGCTCCCTGTTAGAGGACAACTAGCTGAGTTATGTGATTCTTGTATAAGCAGTTCCCACTGTCTTGCTGGTTTTAGACAAAAACACATTAAACAATCCTGAATCCATCTCAACACTGGTAGGCAGGCAGCTGCCATGGCACCTCACTGTTTCTACTGAGGCTGCTGGTAATTGGGTGTCAACAGTGTTTTAAATGAAAATCTTCAACTATTCCGTGCACAGTGACTATCCTGCCAACCATCTGCCATTTGGTGACAGTCTTTGGTACACTGCTGACTTGCATTTTTCAATAAAAGGTTAAAGATTGAATTGCGTGCTGTTTTTCCCGTCACCCTCCCTAAGCAACTACGCTCCTGCTCCCACCCTTTCTCCTTTCTGGTGTCCAGCCTGGACCACATTCACGGTGTATATAACAGTTTACCGCAGGCTAGGTGGCTTGAACTGCAGAGATGCATTTCCTTGGGTTTTAAGGGTATAGGCAGAGTTGAGAGCACACACTTGGCCAGTTCTGGTGAGGTCTCTCTTCCTGGCCTTGAAAAATGCCTCGTGGCAAAGAGAGAAACCATCTGGTGTCTGTCTCTTCCTATGCAGACCCTCTTCCTACTATCCCTGTCAGGCGTGTCTCACATAATCCCAGCTCTGGGGAAGCTGAAGCAAGAGGATCATTGAGTTCAAGGCCAACCTGGGCCACAAGAGTAAGATCTGTCCAAAAACAGTGCCATTCCGTTTTGAGGGTCCAACCTCAGGACCTCACGTAACCCTCGATGCTTTCCACGTCTCCCACTTCCAGATACTGTGACACTGAGCTTCTAGGGCTTTGCCACCTGGATCTCAAGAACTCAAGTTGGTCCAGCACTGAGTTGATGAGGACAGGCCTACGCTGCCTGCAGCTGCAAGCCCGGCATTCTGCAGGAGGCTCACGTTTCCCTCACAGCAGGGTGTAGGCAAAAGTGCTGCCAAGGTGGCGTGGCCTCTGCTCCTCTAGGCCTTTCCCTTAGGCTGCTGCCTCCGAGAGCACAGTCCATCATTTCCTCTCAGGAAACCATCACTCCTTCCCAGGACTGGCCCTCACCTCCTGCTCAAACCCGGCAGGCCTGAAGCCCCACTTCTGTCCAGGCCTGGCCTGGATGCCAGAAGGGCTGAGAAAACTCAGTGCTCTGGTGTCCAGTAGAAGGTGAACCTGGTTGGGCATGGGTAGAAGCCAGTTTACAGGATCTACTCCTTAAGGACCCTATGACTGGTAAGTTCTCTGCTTTTAATTCGCACAAGTAATATAATATTTTGTATTCTGCAGCTTTGTTTCAAGAGCTTTGCATTTAACAAGAGCTGGCACATGTGGGCGCTGTGGTTTAAATGCTCCTCTGAGTGGTGGCACTGGGGAAGATGCACCTCACAGGCAGCACAGTCAGGGCGAGGGGTGTGGTGGATTCCTTTACCCAATTAGGGATTCTACATCCTGAAAGGGGTTAAGGAATGTCTCGTGGGACCTTATTGCATTCTCGGGGTGGTTATAAAAGCCCAAACCTGACCCCTCCCAGCTCTCTAGCCTCCTGTTTTCAAGACATGCCACCTCTTGCCACACACATTCCCTCCATCTGCCATGAAGCCTGTTGGCACCATGCCATTTAGATTTCCAAAGATGTGAGCTAAACCTTTATAGAGCACTCAGCCTCAAGTAGTTCATGATAGTAATGTGAAACTGGTGCGCTGGACTGCTCGTGTTAAGAGTTTCACAGGCAGCTCATTCATTGTCCTGGGTGTCTGGATAGGAGCATGTGGCTTGCGATCAACCCTTGTACACATATAAACCTGTTTGCAGCACACTTAGAGGGTAGTAGATAGGGTATGGCTTCCACTTCCCCAGTTGCCTTCTCAAATGTTTGCCCAGTGCTCACTCTGCCCAGCAGTGTAAGAACTACCATTTGACCCCATGGTTCCTCTGCATTTTTTTTTTTTTTTTTTTTTTTTTTTTTAGGTTCTAGGGATGAAACCAAGGCTGGGCATGCTGCCTGGGATCCTGGCTTCTCCACTGCCCTTAGGACACTCCCTGTTCTATCTGCCCACGTCAGATTGGGTACAGCCTGGATCCATATGAACCAATCCAGCTTCACACAAATTGCTAATAACCTCCCATCTGTGATTGGCTAGTCTGGTACACGCAAAAGTTATTTTTTGTAGTGGTTAAAGAGAGTAAACCCTTCACCTTTGCTGAACTGATTACTTTGGAAAAACCACATTTCTGTGGGTCAGAACACAACATTGCCATTCTGCTGCCCACCTGTTCTAGAAGGGCTCTGCTGGGACGGGGGCGGGGTGTCCTGGCGGATGTGCAGGTATGTTCCATGGCACATCCTGGGCCACTGCTTCCTCTGTGGGAGCCACACAGGTCAGAGATCACCCTGCTAGAGAGGCCTCAGCAGAGTACTGCTCGGGGCTGCTTGAGCATCTCTGTCCAGGGAGGGGCCCTGTGTGGAAGAGCTGGAAAGCCCTGTGAGCCTGCCCTGACCCCACAGCTAGACCTTTGTCGCCATCCCGACTGAGGGAAGGTTTGCCTTCGCTCTCTTCTCTTCACCCTGTGAGTTTCTCAGACATGGAACTAATTATTACCCCGGACTCCTGTTCCATCAGCCCAAATACACTCTCTTCTCTTCACCCTGTGAGTTTCTCAGACATGGAACTAATTATTACCCCTGGACTCCTGTTCCATCAGCCCAAATACACTTTGATGACCTGAGGTCTCTGTGGGAAGGGTGAGGGTGGGCTCCGAGAGAACATCGCTTCCTAGATGAGGCTCCTGGGTTGCTGTGGTCAGCTGGGGCAGCAGCTGCCTCTCCCTTTAGGAATGGAGTCCTGGGGACAGAGGCCAGATGCTAGGTTCACCTGCTACTGGGCATCACGCCGGATTGTGGGTGCACATTAGCACGTGGGAGAGCTGAGCAGCAAGCCCACAGAGGCTTGGGTGCCTGTGGGCTGTGTGTTCAACCCCTGGGACAGTGAGGATGAACAGACCGTTGGGGCTGAGGCTGCCTTTTGCCCCTTCATTAGCTCTGGGATGTGGTGCACACAGTCGGGCAGCATCCAAGGAGCAGTGTAGGTTTAGTTCAGTGGGAGAAGGGGAAAAGATACTCGTTATTTTGCAATAGGATTTTTCCTGCAAGTGAAAACTGATTTGTTTGCTGAGGGCAGTCTGGCACTCTGGTGAAGCAGTACACATCTGATATCTGGGCCCTTAGGGCAGCCCTCTGGGTGAAGCCAAGAGCCACTGCTAGCCGCAGCCATCCAGGACTTTGAGGGTCTCCAGGGCAGCCCTCCTGACCCCAGCCTCTCAATCCAGCTTAGCTCCTGGAGAGCTGAGGGGCACAGAAAGGAAGGAACAGGCTTCCCAGTCAGGACAACACACCCTGTGCCTGCTGCAGGCCACGGTGGGCTGACACCTGCAGGGCCACACTGGGAACCACCTGGGTGTGGAGCTAGAAGTGGGCAAGGGGAGCTGAGTGTCCCCACGTCCTCCACAGACCTGTCAGGGCCCCCGCCACAGACCCTGGCTGCGGAATTGGGACAGAGGCAGCCCAAGTACCCGATAGGCACAGCACAGGACAGCGTGGACTCTGCCTATCAAAGGGACTTACGGGGACACTCTCCTGGATACAGCCATCTCGGCATCTCCGTGCCTAGCTACTCCCGCTCCCCCAAACAGCCCACAACAAAGGGTCACCCAGGCCCTCCCTGGGGATGCTCTGGAAGTCTCAGTGAGCTGCAGACTTAGTGCAACCCAGTCTGCACTACTTAACAATTCCGAAGTCCCGGGAGGTCCATCTTCTTCAGGTAATGGGCAGACATGTGCTTGACGATAATCACTGAAACAACAGCCACACAGACACCCCTTATACCAAGATGAGGTCAACAGGTACACCGTGCTGCCTCCCTCCCTGCTAGAGGCGTCTTGACACATGACGTCAGCCAAGGGTTTGTCAGGCCAGAGTTGGCCAGGAGCACTCTCAAGATCCATAAAGTCCAGTCTGAGAGCATCCCAGGGGTCTAGGTTAGACCTCAGTTTCTATAGCAGCTCCGCTGCCCATCTTCCCATCCAGAGCTGGGATTGACCAGGTGGCTTCAAGGTCCCCAAGTCTGAAGATGTGTCTGCTCACCTGCCAGGCTGCAGGCAGTGATTCTGATCCATGACAAGTCACTTTTCACATAAGTCATCGTTTCCAGCAGGAAGCTACGGAGAACAGCAGGCTTTTTCTGGGCCTGAGAAAAGAAAATGACATCACTGTGGAAGGCAAGACTGGGATGGAGAGCATTCCCATCTGCCTGATGTGTCAGTGCCCTTGCACATGGTGGGGTCAGCCCAGAGAGGGCAAGTCCCTTCCAAGCACCACAAAGCACATTAGCGTCTAGGCCCGGGAACACCCTTAGCACCTGGCTTCATTTTTGCCTGACTCTAGAGCAACTTTGCATTTGTCCCAACCCTGTGCTTCCAAAACCCTAGCCACTGAGAGGCATGGCCCCTGAGCATGGGAATGTGGTCGACAGCAGTGTCAGGGACCGTCCTGGACTTTGAAGACTGTACCAAAGAAATGCAAAATTACCACAATAATAATTTTAACTTTTGCTGGGCATGGTGGCACACACCTTTAATCCCAGGACTTGGGAGGGGAGGCAGAGGCAGGTGGATCTCTGTGAGTTCAAGGCCAGCCTGATCTGCAAAGCGAGTTCCAGGCCAGCTGGGGCTACAAGGAGACCCTGTCTCAAAAAGATAATAATTTTAACTTTGATCACATCAAAATGATCATAATCTGATTATTTGGGATTAAATGCATCATCAGAAGTACTTTTATCTCGCTTTCTGAATGTGGCAGTTAGAAAATGTGATGTAGGTGCCCTTGCTCTGAACAAGAAGGTGAACAAGAGGCAGACAAAGGCAGGCAGAAGGCACTGAGCTCCAAACTAGCCCACAGCTACCTGCAGTGGTCCCCTCTCACCAGGATGGAGCACATGTTTGTCTGGAAAACCATCATCTGGTCATTGGTGCTGTCATCGCTGCGCCCCAAGAGGCTCTCCAGGGACCTCGAGCCCCAGAAGTGTACACACTGAATCATGGTAACCATACATTCCTGGAGGGATACAGGACGGCAGGAGAGGCATCAGTGTGCTGCGTGCAGGATGCCGTTTCATGTGTGGAGACGGGCTGCTGCAGAGAGGCTGGTGCAGACAGAGCACAGAAGAGCTGGGCTGGAGACTCCCAGGAGGCCACCTTGCATCTGCAAAAAGCCCCTGGGGGACAGCGCTGTGTCACATGCCTCTAGCCAGCACTTCCCTCAGCAGCCCTGTAGGAGGTGGGGTCGGGAGCCCAGTTGGGATGGACAGGCCTCTGCCTCTTCTATTGCGTTCTCCTACTCCCAAGTTGCTGGGGCCTTAGAGAGAAAGGAGAAGCCAGGCCAGGGCCTCTCTGCAACTCTCAGCAGCCCCAACATGGGGTGTACCCATAGGTAACTTCAAGGGGAGATTTAAGACCAGTTGTAATGGGTACCAAGTCTAAGTCCACCCAAAGTAGCCTGCAAGGTACCAAAAGAAGGAAAAGGAATTGGACAGAGGCGAGCTGTAGGCAGTGACCAGAGCAAACAGGCGCCACAGGATGCTTCTCACAGAACCAGCTAGCTTTGGTGGCCCCTGTCCCAGCTTGCAGGACGGATAGCTGATCAAGTGAGAGAAGAAAAGCCCGGAGCCAGCAGACCCCCTCGAGACTGCAGGCCAGGATATTGGACACAGATAAGGGTGTGTGTGTCTAACCCGGGCCATGCTGGAGCAGGGTGTGTCTCACCTGGGCCACGCTGGAGAAGGGGTCCTGGCAGTGCTGCAGGAGCGGGATGCAGACTTTCTTCACCTCCCCTTTGAAGAAATGCTTCTTGGAAATCCCAACCACCTTTGCAAGCTTCCAGAAGAGGACAAATGCCTTCATGCGCAGAAGCCCACTCTCCTGAGGCCAAGAGGGGTACAAACCAGCTGGCTTCAGGAGCCCCGCGAAACCCCAGCCTTTCTCCACAAGACCATTCCAGTGCCCTCGAGCCTTTTGGACCCCTCTGTCAGGACAGTCTGTCCTTCCTCACATAGCATTCAAAGGGACTGGGCATGACTGGTCTTTCAGCTCATCCCAAAGATGATATGAAAGGGGCTAGGAGGAATCTGAACGCACCCCACTGACTGCGCGGGCCCAGACGGCAGGCGCCCGGGGAGCATGTGTGAGCTGTAAGGAGTTAAGGAGCAATGTTACCTCCTAGCAGGGCCGTCTTTGGAGGGAATTAGGATTAGATGAGGTTGTAAAGATGGTGTCCCCATGACAGCATTAGAGGCTTTAAAGGAAGAGAAGGACTCAAGTTTGCTTCATCTCACCTTGTAACACAGCAGAAGGCCCTCACCAGAAGCCAGCACCATGCTCCTAGGCTTCACAGTCTCCAAACACATAAACTACACAAATCTCTACGTTTTATAAATCATCCAATCTCAGGTATTTTGTTATAGCAACAGCAAACACTAAGATACTGAGAGAAATACTCCTCTGGACTCACGTTGTCAAAGAAAGCCCCGCACTGTTCAGAGATGGCCTCAAAAGAGGCCAGGTCCCCCTCTCGGAGCTCAGCCAGGATCTTGGTCAGGGCCTCCATGCTTTCTGCTATCACACTGCTGCTCGCCTGGCTGTGCAAGGGACTCAAGCACTTCTCCAGCAGGAGCTTGCGGTACTGCTTCACCTGGGGTTCAGAGGGCTCGGTCGCACTCCATGTGGCCTAGCGGAGTGTACCCACATAGCCCTCAGCCCCCAGGACTCGGGCCAGGGGCCCATGTGGTACCTTCCGGGAAGCACCGAGGGCCATGTTGCCCAGGGCATGCAGGGAGAGCACCTGAAGGACTTCGTCTTTGTCCTGCCCCACACCCTTCTCCAGCATCACCAGTGCCGGCCTCAGCAGCTTCTCCTGGTACAGAACCCGGTGGCTCATGAACTAGAAAGAGGAGCAGGTCTGTTATCCCTGGTGGATGTCCACTTCTCAGCAACAGCGGTGGTGGCAGGATGGAACGCAGAATGACCACTGAGCAGGAGGGAGGAGACCAGCACCCCAATCTCCACTTCAGAAGAGATGAGACAGCTGCCCTGGGCTTGTGGGTTTCAGTAAGGAACTATGTGGGAACTATATGTGTAGAGACTTACTGTTCTTCAGCTGCTGTGGGCAAGAGCCTTGCCCACCTGTGTGTGATCAGAATACAAGCATGAGTCCCAGCCATCTGACAGAATCTCCACCAGACTGGTGCTCAGTGTCAGGACCTCAGGCCAGTGCAGACCCCGTGGATATGTGTGTGTGCATGCACACACATGTCTGCAGGTGCTTACCCCTGTGTGGGCCTCTGGAGTTGGTACCCTCTCCTAACACTCCACCCCTTGTTTTTTGAGACAAGGTCTCTCAGTGAGCCTGGAGCTTACTGGTTCAGCTAGACTGGCTGGCCAGCAAGTCCCCAGGATCTTCCTGTCTCCACCCTTCCCCTACTCCCAGCACTAGGCTTACAGGCATAATGTGGGTGCTGGGATCTGAACTCAGGTCCTCCTGCTTGTGCAACTTTACCAACCCACTGAGCCATCTCCTCTAGTCTCATGAGGGTGTTTTAAAGAGTTCTAAAGGAAACTAAACATCAAGTCGGTGGCCCCTGGGACAAGAGGAATGCGCTGGTCTAGTGACCAGTGCCACATCCCATGCCTTGAGACCCTCATGCCCAGCTGCTCTGCCTTCCAGCCAGTCTGCACAGGCATCCACCCGAGCATTCCACAGCTCTTCATTGCTCTAGACATCCCTAGAGCTCCCAGAAGGGCCAGGCAGGGTGAGAAGTAATGACCACACCTCACATTTTACCCACCCTTCAGGACAATGTCCAAACTTCTCAGCTTGTGATAAAAATAATAGTGTAGGTGCTGGGGAAATAACTCAGTAAAGTGCTTGCCTTGCATGCTTAGGCATGACAAGAGCCTGAGTTCAAACCCCAGAACCCATATTTTTTTTAAAAGTCAGGCATGGTAGTGTGCTTGTAATCCCAATGCTGGGGAGGGGGCGGGGACAGGTAGACCCCTGAGGCTGACTGGCCAGCCAGTGAGTTCTAGGTCAGTAAGAGAACCTGTCTCCGAATAGATATATCCTGTGGAACAACACCCAAGGTTGTCCTTTGGCCTCACACATGCACATGTGCACAGAAACACGTGCTCCCATGTACATGTGAAGAACTACAAGAAACATTAATTCCACTCACGTTCTGAGCACACTAATCCCGTGCTCTACCACTGAGCCACGCCCCAACCCTTTGAGTCTGAATTTTAAACATCAGTGGCGTAGCATTCAGTGTCTACCCTGCAACCAAGTAGTGTGCACTTATCTGATTGAATTCTCAGCAAAGCCCTGAAAAGCAGGTTCTGTGATTCCCACTTCAGCAGTTGCAGAAGTTGAAGCTTGGAGACCTTAAGGAACTTGTCTGAGGCTGCCCAGCTGCTGTGTGGAGAAGCCAGATTCTCTTCGTGCCGTTTGATGCAGCTCCTGTGCCAGGCCCTTGCCCAGCTTCCAGCCACTCAGGGCTGTAAATCTCTTCCCAGCATTGTTTTGGGGATCCACAGAGACTCCAAACATGGACAGAATCCATGAGCTTGTAAAGCTTGATGACTGTCCCCAGTTGGTTGTGCATGAGGCAGGAGCTTTTGCACAGGACGAAAAAGCCAAAGGTCATTTGTGTTTGTTTATGTGGTAGAAAACACCTTGAGGGACACGATGCCTGGGAGCTGCTTGAAGTGTGGTCAGTGTCCACCAGTAAGCTTTCCGTGGTTGTCTTACTCCCCCTACCCAGCAGCAGCCAGGCCGGCCCAGGGGCAGACTGACTACTTCTCAGCTCTGAGGCCCTTCACAGCTTTGCTGACTGCCACCCGCTGCACACGGGCTGGCATCGTGCAGACAGTGAAATTTCCTCTAAAACTTCCCTGGCCAGTTCTCCCAAGACTCCATCCATGCTCCAGCTGCGTAACAGGGGCCTGGGGCCATGACATCCTCCTGCTTTCTTGTGTGGCAGGGCCAGCACCTCTCAGAGCCTTCGGGCAGGAGCCTCCCCGGCCCACGCTGAGGAGCCCCTTGGCTTGCTCCACTCACTCTGCTGTACGTCAGCACTTTGCCTCAGGTGGGGTCTCAGACTCTGCTCGCCCTTCCCGTCAGGCCTTGCGTTACTGGTGAGAGCAGTCAAGGAGGGAATGCACATGCTAAGCGGGGCTCACCAGTTCCCTGAACCCAGGTCCTCAGAGACCATGTGCCTGGCCAGCAGATGAACTGATGAACCATCCTAGGAAGCCTATGGACACCCACCCCTGTCCACTCACACCCTCCTCCCAGGGCTGGGCGCCTCACTTCCACACAGATGGCTGTGCTACTGACCCTGCAGCTCAGGACCTCGGAGCCCATGCCCCTGAGCACCAGCTCCACCAGCCTCTGCATGTAGCACTCCACGTTCTGCACGCACAGCCTGCAGAGGAGAGAAGGGGGCCCCGGGGCAGGAAGTCATCGTGCAGCTGCCTGGTGCCAGCCGGAAGGGGACTGGGGCAAATGTCTCAACATCTCTCCTTCCCCAGGGGAGTTGGGGGATACCAGCAAAATGCTTTCTAACCCCTTTAGTTGTTGGGAGATCTCTGTTATGCAAAGTCGAAGCCCCTTCACACCAGACAGCTCATGCAGCTCGGGTTATGTGCTGCGGGCTCCTTTCATAGCGGGGTGTCTTCCTGGCATCTTTCCTGTCTCTCCTTTTGAAGTGGCCGCCACAAATGCCATAACATCGACATGGCCTCTGGCTCTAGGCATATCATGCCTTCCTGTGTGATTTTTACAGGCGGCCAGGAGTCTAGCAGTGTGGCAGAAATCCACTTCCACATGTAAATAGAATGCCTCACAAAGCATCTAACAGCCAAAGCTTTTACCACTACCCCCATGGTATAAAATATCCTAGCCTTCTCTTAACAGTGGGAGATTGGGTCAGAGACTGGATCCCAGAGATTGGGTCCCAGAGAGAATAAAGCTGTAAGCACAGACTGAGCCAAGCCTTGAGTCTTGTGTACCAGCGACCCGATCCCCCCCGGAGGGCAGCACTCTCTGTTACCGACCCACGGACACTAGCTTTCGCCGTCTTCATACTCCTTCACTGCGTGGCTCAGTGGCCAGGAGCCTCGCATCCTGAGGAAGGGTACACGGGTGAAATAGAGACGGGATTCCGGCTGGACAATGCTCCAGTAGCAGAGTAAGCTCTCAGCACCAGAGAAGTTGCGACAGCCACCAGCTGTCGCCAGCTCCAGAGACACGGGCCGAGATGCCGGGAAAGCCTGCAGGGCACCCGCCGCTCCCAGAGCCTCAGCTTCCCAGAGCAGTCTGCAGATCCACAGGGAGTGAGCGCACCCTGCGCCCAGAGAGAGCGCAGTCTCCCCATATTTAGTGATCTGGACCAGGAAGGCCTGGAGGCCTCCTGTGCTCTTGGGTGCCCCTCCTCTTTCTGTCCACACATCTACCTCTGCTGCCCCTGACCCAGAATTCAGGACATGCGTCAATGTGGCAGTGACCCCAGAAAGGAGACAACCAGCTATGCCATTCATGGGAGTCTTCTGTCCAACCCCATGACACCCAGCTTCACCTGGCCAGCAGGCTCACTCCTTCCAGGAAGGTCCCTCCATTCTCCAGCAGGGTCCACACAGACTGCTCCTCCAGTGCCTGTGCCAGGGGCTCTCTGTTGATCCTCCTGACCAAAAGCTGCAGGGATCTGACCGTGACCCTGGAGGGAAGTGAGCAAAGGTGAGCCTGCTGCAGAGGGCTAAGGGGACGGTCACAAGAGACAGAGGTCTGAACACTCTGAAACCTACACTTTACTGAACATGGATGGGAGGAGACTGGGAGGTGCCTGTACAGTGAGGATTTGTAGAACCCATCAACTTTCAAAGGACAGCTGGAGACCATGTCCAGCCCAAGCCTGCCGCCTGGCACCACGCCCCTCCCTCCTGCCCTCGCGCACCTCTGCAGGGTCATCTCCTGGGGCAGGGGTCCTGTGGGGACCAGCCTCCAGGTCTTCAGGATGGGAGAGGTGGCCTCTGGCCGAGGCTGCTGCTGAGCTTCAGCACGAAGGTATAGAGCAGGTCGGGGAAGAGGCCCTGGAGTCTGTCATCCGGCCCCATCTTCTCCATGAGGAGGGGGATGGTGCAGAGGTCTGCAGGGAGACGGGCCAGCATCAGGACTTCACCCTAACACTCCTGAGGAGCCCGACAGCCGCTGCCACTCACCATCAGAGGGTCCACGGCTGCCAGGCGCCAGATGTCAGCCTTCGAGGTGGCATTTTTCCTGGGGGTGAAACTCGACTGCAGCTGGCCCAGCAGACCATGGAGCATGGTCCGTGCAAAGGGCATGTTCTCTGCCACAGCCAGCCACACTTATGTTAGGTGGCTAGCCAAAGAAGGAATAAAAGGTCTCCAGAGCCACTAAAAGACCACATGATTGGGCCAGGTTCCTCACTTTCTCTACAGGACCAACGACTTAGAAAGCCACAGCCCCCTGGCATGTGACTAATTCTAGCACTCGGGAGGTAGAGGCAGGAACATCAGGAGTTCAAGGCCAATTTTAGCTGCTTAAGGAATTTGAGGCTAGCCTAGGCTACATGACTCAAAACAAAGAGGTGAAAAAGGAAGAAAATGGCCATCTTGACCACAAGGCCAAACCCGTGGCCCTGCTGGGAAGGAAAACACCCCTGGCCTGACAGTGACCATTTCAGTTACAGAGCCCTGTAAAAAGCTAGAAATCTGGTAAGTTCTGAAGAGCTAAAGCAGCACATCTAACAAGTAAATAAACAGACATGCAAACTGTGTATTGGAACACGCAACACCAGTGCAAAAACACAGGGTGAATTCATGGCCAGGAAAGACACTGCCGGGGGTTATGCAGGGCGCACACCGCTCATAACACCAAATGCAAAGAAGCCACTGGGGTATAGGAAACAAGGCCCTGCAGTGCTGGGCCCAACTCTACCAACAGCCACATGTGCCCACCACAGGATTTGGGACAGCCCACTGAACTCAGTTGCAATCTTATGTGACCTTGAACGGATGGACCAGCTAAGCCCCATCCAGGACTGACCCATGAACTATGTGCTGACATTTTCTAAGTATCTGTGCTGGTGCAGTTTAGCAGCAATATCTAATCAAGACAGATGTGGAGGACATAAGTGACAGCTAGAGAGGCACGGCCACCAAGAAGGCCAGCAAGACCTGGGGATCTGCTGATCGAGGTCACTGCACACAGCCCTCTCCCTTGCACCTTGCAAGGCTCCCTTAGGAGAAGCCCTATCGTGATGGAGCCATGCCTGAGCTGCATGCATGTCAGCCCCTGTAGCTGCAGATCTAAGGCTTAACTGGGAATTTTCTCCGTTCACAACTGCCTCATCTCACTGATCATTGCAGACTTAGCTGCTCTGCAGGACAGGTGGCCTCTTTCTGGGCCCTGCCCAAGTGAATCTGTTACCTCCCAACATTCTTCCCATATTTGGTGCCAAAGTGAGGGGGCCTCCGTGCTTCAGTTGTGGCTGGAAGTGAGGGAACTTAAGTAAATCACTTGTCCTTAGGCTATGTTCTGAAAGGCACAGGATGGACTGGAATATCTCAGAGGTTCGGAGACCCAGACCTGGAAAGCCATGCTCTGTGCCTTTCCTGTTCCCCACAGGGAAGGAAAGGGCTATCACAGGAGGATGTCCTGGACTCTGTGGGTGTTACCCCAGAGGGGACAGCCAGGACACAGGAGGAGTTATGGAACCCAGATTCCAGCTCAGTCTCATGAAGTGATAAGGCTGGATTCAGGGTCAGTGGCTCAGCAGAGACAGATGCCTCCTACAGGACACAGGGGTACAGGGCCCAGGCTTCCCAGCCATGTCCACCCCCCTAGGCACCCACCTCTCCATGGGCAGTGGCTGCCTCAGGAGTGACGTGAGGACGGTCTCTTGGTGGTAGTGGGCCAGCAAGAGGATGCCTTCGATGAGGCACCGCCTCACCTCTGGGTGGTCTACTACTGGCAAGTGGACCAGGATGGCACCCTGGATCTCAGCTACCCGAGGAGATGGGCATCTCCTAGGGGTTGTTTGGGACTGGTGATGGTTAGTTTTAACTGCCCGCACAACCTAGAATCACCTGGGACGGGAGTCTTAATGAGGAATTATCTCAATCAGGCTGGCTTATGGGCATGAAGACTGTCTGGTTGCTAATTGAGGTGGGAAGACCCAACCCACTGGGTGATACCATTCCCTAAGCCGCTTTCTGAACTAATTATGTAAGCGTGAAGAAAGCAGCAAGCAAGCTGCTCTTGACTGTGGATGTGATGTGACGAGCTGCCTGAGTTCCTGCCTTGACTTCCGTTCAGTGATGAACTGTGACCTGGAAATGCACACCAAATAAACCCTTGTCGTCCCTAAGTTGTGTTTGGCGAAAAGAAACTACAACAGCCCCCCTGTAAGACACCCCTCCTTCAGGGAGCTTGAGGGTAGGTTGGACCCCCCAAAGCCTTCGTCGGCAAGCCAATTGGTCTCAATTGTTCATTAAGTATTCAAGGGGAGCAGGTGCTGTGCCCCAAGAGATGCCTTGGGCCTTTGGCACCTCATCTACTCACTGACCAGCTACAATTCATCAGGTTGCTCTCTTGTTCTGAGCTCTGTCTCCTCTTCTTTAGTACCTGTGGTTTGCTGGAAGCCGTCAACCTCAGTGTGCGTGCCGCTCGTACTCGCCCCATGGGTCAGCCTCAGTGTGCGTGCTGCCCGTACTTGCCCCATGGGTCAGCCTCAGCCCCATTCCCAGATAGCCCCCCTGGCTATACTACCTTGTCCTCTAGTTGTTCTGAGCTCTGTCTCCTCTTCTTTAGTACCTGTGGTTTGCTGGAAGCCATCAACCTCAGTGTGCGTGCCGCCCGTACTCGCCCCATGGGTCAGCCTCAGCCCCATTCCCAGATAGCCCCCCTGGCTATGCTACCTTGTCCTCTATCTCCGTGACCCGCATCTGGAGGAAGATGCCTATCCAGATGACAGTGGCCTTGTCGTGCCGCAAGTCCATGGCTCCAGTGTTCTCACAGAGCTTCTGGGTGAGCGACACAACCTCTTCGCAGTTAAACTCAGGGCAGACCACCTATGAGCAGAACAAGATGGGATTCCAGGCTCCTCCACTCCTGTCTCAAAAGGCTAACTGATGCCGGCACAGCCAGCTTCCCAAGGCCTCAGAGTATACCCAGCCTCTCTCACTCCTCGTCACCGGCCCCACACGCTGCCTGGATCCCATACCAGGTCGTTCCATTGTCACAGCACTGCCTTGCAGCCTCGTGTCCTGGGCTTGGACACCTTCTGACCTTGCCCTGCTGTTTTGTAAGCCACGCTTACACCAGGAAGCTGCCTCTGCCCCAACTCCCCTTGGCAGAAATGACCTCACATCCCACTCCCTTGAAGTCCAAGGCCTATTTCCAAGACTCTGGGAATTTCCTCTGTTGGAGTGTCATCAGCACGCTTGGGTTCGAAGGCCACTCCACAGAGTCTGCCTGGATCGTTCCCACAGCCCCGTCCATACGCACTGTAGCAGCATGTCATAGGGACCCAGAGAGCCGATCAGAGAACATTAGACATCTACCCTGTATGAGCCAGCCATTCCAAGCCATTTCAATATAGATGTACCGGGTGTACCAAAGGCTGGGGAGAAGTGACCACCCCCCACAGGGTGACAATATTGGATATACAGTCCACGGGAAGTTTTTGCCCCCAAGAGCAGCCTGTTATCACCTTGGCGATTCTGGAGGAAGCAGTAAAAATCTTCTCCATGTCTGTGCCCTGGCGGTCCTCCTTACATTTCTCCAGCTCCCTCTCCTTAGGCTCTCCCCATAAGGAACATATCTGGCTTACTGTCCGGACTACAATCAGACGCGATCAGCAGGAGAGACAATCTAGCCTGCTCCTCCAGCATCTACACATCCCCTCTCTTCTAGCCTCTGTTTTCACTGTTCTTCCTGCCTGGTGAGCACCACCTCTACACACAGCTCAGACCTGCTAACCCTCCAGCCCATTTCTAGCCAGTTCAACTGTATGCTTGGTCTTGGCAAACTGAATAAGTCCAGCAGGAGCCCAAGGTGAGTCAACCTCATCTGATGAGACTCTCCTGGAAGCTTCCACGACCTCTTGGTGAGCTCCCCCACCCCCACCACCATTCTCTCTGTTAGCCATGTTTGTCTTCTTGCCTGCCTCCATACAGACCACATTTCTCTCTATGGCAGGTCTCTATCAACAGTCCCTGTCCCCAAGAGACCCCCATGTCCTGTCTTCCCCTACCATGAAGATCTAGCAGGCTGGACAGGACATTAGTTGAAGCCAGACGAGTTCTGTGGGGGTCACAGGTGCATGGAGCAATGAGTCCCACCAGTGTGCCAAACTGTCCCAGCTTTAGGGGGATCCGAGGGAAAAGAGACAACAGAGCTCACGCCTTTATTCTCACAAGCGCATCTGAGGCCACCCAGGGGCGGCGAAAGGGCAACTAGAAAGGGTGTGCACTAGCCGCTGTCTACCTCCCACCCACATGTCAGTCTCCTCAGCCCCTCCTCTAACAGATCAATCAACCAGTATCAGAGAAGTCCTGGCTCAGCACTCCCCGTGGGTCAGCTCTGCCCTGCTCTGAATGCCCAGACATCTGCTATAGTCCTGCCACTGAGCTCTGGATTCCAAACGAAACCAGTCGCTGGATGTGTGGCCTGGGCGGGGGGGCGGCTCAACTCTCAGTCTCTCGAGCTCCCTGTCTTTGAAGTGAACCAATGACACCTTCTCTCAGGCAACATTAGGAGACACGGAATCCAGGTGTGGATGCACACATTGTGTGCAGCATCTGAACGTCCTTAGCATTGCTCTTGGCTCTTGCTTGGCCAAGCCTTCCTCCCCACTTCCATTCAGGTGCTCCAGTGGCTCAACACCACCTCAAGACTGGAGGCCATCCCTGCACTCTGGCCCTGGCATACCACCATCCTGTCCACAGCCATCCCCAAGAATAGGACAGCCAGAGCTCAGAGCCAACACGTGTGGAAGAGAGACCTTGTGTTGAGGGTGCCAGTTAGCCACTTTGTTCTAGATTTCCTGGTGCCCATGATACTTGTTAAGCTTGATGAAGTTTATGACTCTGTGGCGGTTCATCTTCTTATTCTAAGTAGATACTGTCTTTCCTGTACGGTATTCAGTTGTGTGCTCTTTTTGATTTTATTTTAAAGACAACGCTCACCACTGTGTGAGCTTCAGGCCCTACAAACCCTGGAGCCATATCAAGCTGCAACCCCATCCTCTCCTCCCTTAGCCACCAAGAGCCCTGGCTTGCACATTGCTGCCTCTTCCCAAGGGACTCCTGGGACAGAGCTTGATCTAGTGGTGTTCCCTCCTCTGGACAGAAGGATGAATTCCCTGTGGCTGCATGCTAGCATGGCAGGTTGTAGGGAGGGTAACTCACACAGACACCAATTCTTTGAACGTAGATCTGCATGAGATGGAGATGGAGGGTCATGGCCTTCTCTCGTTCCCACTCTCTCTGACAAGATCCAGTTCTCCAGGAGCTATGTGTAAAGTTGTGAACACAGACGGCTTACCATCTGGGGGCTGGCCAGCCCCATCCTGGCCAGCTTTCAACTTCTGTTCTTCCTACTCAGAGTTTGAATTTCAGTGCTTCTGCGTGGTTCTAGACACTTCTGGCCTTCTTCCCAGACCCTACCATGAAGGAGATGAGGCTATGGGCAGAGGGGCCAGGGGTCTCCAGCCCACTCACCAGGATAGTACTTGGCTGTTATGTGTGTCCTGGCTCTGTAAAGGTACCCAAAACACAGACCAACCTTAACCTCAGGAGGTCGGGGGAGGGGGGTTCTAATACCAAAGTTCTTCTCAGAGTAAAGATCATTACTGTTATACTTTGGATCTGGAATGTCCCCAAAGGCTATGTGTTAAGGGCTTGGTCACCAGCCCATTGACACCTTTAGGAAATGGAGCTTAGTGAAAGGAAGTGAGATGACTGGGGATGTACCCTTGCAGAGGATGTGGGAATTCTGCCCTCTCCTGTTTCTTTCTGCTTCCCAGCAGCCATGAGGTGAACAAAGCCCCACAGTGGCTCCTGGAGTGGCCTCCTGCCACTGCCACAAGCCCAGAGCCACAACCCGACAACCATGGGCTGGAATTTCTGGTACCAAGAGCCAAAATAAACCCTTCCTGCTTTGAAGTTGGTGTGCTCGGATACTTTGCCATGGCAGCAGGAGCTACCACGATTACTACGGCTAAAGAGGGTCACGTCACCATAGTCAACTCATCAAGAGGAGATGCCAACCCTAAATATCTATGCATGCAGTGGCATTGCTAAAGCCATGTGAGGGAAAACTCAGTGGAACAAGAAAGAGAAATAAATCCACAGTGGCGTAAATTTCAGCACCTCTTTCTCAATAACCAATTGAACAGAGAAGAAATCCAAAATGGTACAAAACAAGTGAACAGCACCAAAACCAACATGGCCCAAGTGGCACTAGGGACACGCTACTCAACCACCACAGGGTAACTTTCAATTATACACAAAATAGTTACTCATATTTGGGCAACAGTCCATTTAGAGGGATTTAAAATGCCCCAAGTGTGGTCTCAGACAGCAACGCAGAATCCCAAACAGAAAGAGTTCTGAAATCTTTTTAATTCTGAATAAGCTGCGGATCAAACAAAAAATCCAAACGGAAATTAAAATATAATTTGAACTAAAATAAAATTGTAACACAACATATTAAATATAATAAATTATAAATAAAATACACGTAAAACTGAAAAACAAGTTGACGGCCTTACATTATATGATCCTGATTTCAAGATTTATTTTAATATTAAAGTAATCTGGACAGTGGGGTGGAAATAGAACAAACACATCAGTGGGGTAAAATAAACAGAAAAGTCCACCCATACATGGTCACTTGGTTTTTCAACAAAGACGCAAAAGCAATTCAATGAAGACAAGATAGTCCTCCCGACAAATGGTGACTAACAATTGGTTATCCATATGCAACAGAATTCACATGAACTGTCATTCATACTTCATAAAAAAATTAATTCAAAATATATCATAGATTTAAAACCTAAGAACCCAAGACTTCTAGAACAAAGCATAGTAGAAAAATCAAACTTTGGGCTAGAGACAGTTTTCTTATACTTGACGCTGAATACATGATCCACGAAAGATCTACAGATATGTTAAACCATCAAAATTAAATGTCTCTTTATTGAAGATACTGGGATATTAATGACAAAAAGGCCACACACTAGAAGAAAATATTTTCAGATGACATAATTTATATACTATACATTGAAAGCAAATAACCCATTTTTAAAAGTCTTGCCAGTGCCTTTCAAAAGTGACAAGCCTCGGGCTGGAAAGATGCCTCAGCAGTTAAAGGCTCTTGATGCTCTTTCAGAGGACCTGAGTTGGGTTCCCAGCATCCACATCAGGTGGCTCACAACTACTTGTAATTCTAGCTCCAGGAGATCTAGTGCCCTCTTCTGGCCTCAGTGGGCACCTGCATGCACATACACATACACACAGACACAAACATACACGTAATTTAAAATTTCTGTTTTACGTCTTTTTGAGACAGGGTCTCCCAGTAGCCCCAGCTGGCCTGAAATTTGCTACGTAGACCAGGCTGGCCTAGATATCACAGAGATTCACCTGCTTCTGCCTCCTGAGTGCTGAGATTACAGGTGCGTGCCACCACACCGAGCCTTTAAAGCATGACAAGGCTGTGAAAGAAAAGAACTAAAGAGCTAGTCCGGATTAGAGAGCAGCAGAGAGACATGGCAACTATATAAGGCATCATTCAGACCAGAGCCTGGGAGCAGCTATCAAGGGCATTACAATATAACTAGGACAATTAGTGACATTTGAATATGAATCACAGACTTTGATACAGCATTACATCAACACCAAGTTTCACAACTTTGATTTTTGTAGTAATACACACACACACACACACACACACACACACACACACAATGTATATTAGAGCACATTCCTGCTCCTATATCTGCAACTAATCTTCTAGGCTTCACATACTGCATGTACACGTGTGTGTGTGGTGGGGGGAGCTCTGGACCCTCTGCCAGGTAGCTCACGTGCACAGTCTCCTGCAGCCCTTTGGGATCCAGCTGCCTCTGCATGAGGCCCTCCATCAGCTGCTTCAGGGAGCTCAGGGCATTTGCATACAGGGTCTGAGAGAGAGAGCTGGGAGAGAGAGAGAGAGAGGGACTTTGCAGTCTTGAAGGATACGAATAGCCACCTACCAGGACTCTGCAGGTGTCTGTGTCAGGCTGGGGGGGTGAGACGGTCTGATTGCTGCCCACTTAGTGCTACTCAGACTGTTCTTTACACCCACCTTTTCATGTGAAGTGCAAAGATCTAGAGTGTCTTTCTAGACACTCTTAGAGCCTAGTTCTCCTGACTTTAATCTAGGACAGATCCTTGAGACAGGTAGCACCTGTCCATGAGGATTTATTCTCCTCTTCCACGGTGTAGCTGGGAAACAGATATCTGATCAAGGACTACATATCCCAGCATCCCCTGCATCTAGGTGGAGCTATGCTTCCTGGTCATGGCAGGAGAACAAAACAGCTCATGAGTCTTCTGTACACACTTTCATCCCTCATGTCCAGGGAGAATGCCAATATTGACAACGACTTGAAGCCATGTGTTGATGATATTGAGACCTCTGTCACACTAGGCCCTGGCAGACACAGGAAGCAGTTCCACACTCTTCCCACTAACCGGTGGGGTCCACTTGAATGAGAAATAAACTTGCATGTAGTTAAGCCACTCAGGTTTCAGGGTTTATCTGTTACAGCCACTAGCATTACCTTGCACTGACTAATAGAGCCCACTCCACATTTTGGCCTTGCGAGTGGTTCAGGAAAGTGGAGTCTGCCCATGTCAAGTAATCTTCCAGGTTCTGACCCAGAAGGCAAGGAGGCATCTCCTCAGGGCCTACCTTAATGGGTTCGTTGTCTTCCCCTGGGGGTTGGAGAGAAATGACAGCATGTATGCTGATGTCCATCAGCTCACTGCTTTCCTCTGAGGAGTAGAAAGGCTTCAGTGTGCTGAGGAAAGAAGCAGTGACAACAGGAGTGTTCACAGGGAGCTCAGCCGTTCTGCCCACTGCCTACTCAGGGCAGGGAGCCTGTCACGGAATGAGAGGAGGACATACCACTCTGATTGGGGGCTCAGACATGTGTCCCTGCCCAGGACCCCTGTTCTGCCTGACCACCAGCCTCCAGTATTACATCTGTAGTTGAGGCAGGATTGGGGCGCCCAAGGCCTCCCTCTCTCACTCCTTGTTGACTGCTCTGAGCCTATGAATCTTTCTCTTCCCAGACCACAACCATAGTATCTGCCCTCCCAGGCTGGTCCTGTTCCAGGGTTTTCAAAGTGTCCTGGAGTTTATCAGCAACGGAAACTCTTAAGGTTCCACAGGAGGGAAACCTACTGAGTCAAAGCCCCTGGGTGCATCCTAGCCTGAGTAACCCTCCCAGGGTGGTAGTCAGCTGATTGGTGCATGCTAGCCATTAGCCTTCTAGCCCCTTCACCTGGTTCTCGAGCCTGGTTGCACATCAGAATCGCCAGATATCTTTTTAAGGACCCCCAAGGACCATGCCCAGGCTCTAGAGAGCCTTACACCCAGTCTGGGGTGGGATCAGGGATCAGTGCTATTAACAGCTCCCCGGGGGAGCACCACTGTGCCCCAGAACTGAGATACACTGCCTTAATTAGAAACTCCTCTGGCCTGTACTCCACTCTGCAGGGGTTGAATTCCCAAACCTAGAAATCTAGTCCATGCACTTCAGCCCAGGTCAAAAGTCAAGTGCCAATCTGCACTGGCCTTACTGATAGCCCCTATGGTAAAAAGGCTGAATCCTATTTTCACTGTAGACCCTTCTTTAGAATTTGGTGTGTGGGGGGGTCACCTACAAACACATTCTTCTGTCAGTTCTCACTCATAATTCTGTGTGTATGTGTATGACTTTTCTCAAGTCTTTCCTGGCCTGTGCTCCCTTGAAGGGAGTGGATGTACTCAAAACCTGCCCTTGTGCTGTCTCTTAGAGCAATAAGTAGGTTTGCCAAGAGCCTAAAGATTCCTCCCTTACAGTGAAGTGTCCAAAAGATGAACCAAACATTAATTTCTCAACTGTATAAGTTCTTTCCCTTTCCCCGTCCCCTTCAATGGACTGACACATCCAGGGATCATATGGCATTGTCTAAACCCTGTCAATAAGTAATGTTCACTTTGTTGGCTGAACCCAACCTAAATGTGAAGGATGCCCCGCTAGCTAGCTTCAGCTGTTATTGAGGGCCCAGCCCACTTTGAGTGCCATCCCTGGGCAAGTGGGCCTGGGCAGGAAGAAAGTTATCTTAATGTGAGCTGGGAAGCAAGTCAGTAAGCAGCACTCCTCCATGGTTCCTGCCCCAACTTCCCTCAGTGATGAATTGTGACCTGGAAGTGTAAGCGGAAAGAATCCCTCCCTCCCCGTGGTATTATCACAGTGACAGACAGCTACCTAGGACAGATGCCATCTCCTTGGGATCCTCGCCCAGCCTCACTACCATCCTAAAACAGCCTCTCATTGACCGAAGAGCAGCCCACGCACCTGTCGTTCATCTTCTTATCCACAGAGAAGCAGCCAACTTGAAGTACGGCCAAGGATTCTGGAAAGGAGGACCTCACCTACCAGGCTAGCCCATTGTCCCAGGGAGTTTTTGCCCAATACCACTGTCACAGAGGTGGGAAGAGAAGGTAGAAGGGGTACTGAGCAGTAGTCACAGTAAACTCCGTCCCGACCTTGGGAGACACTTGACGCTCCAGCAGGTCTTGCTCCCACTCGCCTCAGTTGTGAAAGAGCGCCCATCGCCATTGTCCACACGGGAGAAACCAAATGGTCACCCGGTTCTGCCTTGATGATCGCCTGCCCAGCACAGCAGGGTGGTAAACCACTGGCTGCCCAGAGGCTGAGCGACACAAGTGGCAGTGGAATGATCTTGTTCTAGTACAAGGAGGGCCTGGGCCTTTGTGAAGTACCCCAACCTCCTTCCTTCCGTGGCAGCAAAACAGGGAAAGGAGCTGGGTCCACGGTGGGCCCAGGCTTATTGCTCAGGGCTGGCAATACCTTGACATGTGTCCCTGGCCATGTAACTCCCCCGCTAAAGCCCAAGCTCCCTTTCCCATAACAGGCTCATTTAACAGGTTGGGTCAGCTGTCACACAGTGACAGACTTAGGGCCGATGAACGCTCATCTTCCTGTTGCCTCCTGTATCTCCTGCATCTTGCTTCCCAACAAGGACAGCTTTCAGTGCTGCTCAGAGTGTTTCCTGGGACCCAGTGCACTGGCAGCAATAAAGGGGTGGGGAAGTCTGGGGACCAGGGACAGCCACTGGTGCATTGGCTCCATCAGCCTGTAGACAGTTAGCACTTTCTAAACTTCCCATTGTGTGGTTCCCCTTCACCAGGGAGCCTAGAATAATGAAATCCATAGAGGCAGAAGGTGGAGCGGTGGTTACCAGTGACCAGAGAAGGAGAAACGAGGAGTCGGTGTTTAACAAGTTTTGCAAGATGAAGAATTCTAGAGATGGATGGTGGTAAGGGCTATACTGCAGTGTGGATGCGGTTCCACCATCAAACTGGGCATTGGAAATGGTCACAGTGGTGGGTCAGTTGTATGTTTGTGCATCATTTCATGTGTATATGTTCGTATGTGACTCTGTGTGTGTGTGTGCACGCGTCCGTGCTTAAGCCAAATAAACCTTTTCCTCCCCAAGTTGGTATTGGTCAGAGTGTTTTATCACAGCAATGAAGAAACAGACTAGGACAGTGTGTGTGTGTGTGTGTGTGTGTAGGTTTTTTTTTTTTTTGAGACGGTACCCCTGTAGCCCCAGCTTCTGGGAACTCACTATGTAGACCAGGCTGGCCTCAAACTCATAGAGATTGCCTGTCTCTGCTTCCCAAGTGCTGGGATTAAAGGCATGCACCACCACGCCCAGCTGTATATTTTTGATCTTGAATATACAT